TTGAGAAACTCCTAGGAGACTAGAAAAGCACACTTCTGGGTATATCTGGATGGGTCACAAGGAAATAACCTTGAGAAATATCTTTGGTCCATGGCAGCTTCCTCTCTGACTTTCTCCCTTTTCTCTAATACCTGCAGGCTGTAAGTTGTATTCCTTTCCTCTGCTATGTCCTTCCTCCGTATTTGCAGTAAGAGCTAACTGATTATGGACTAAAATCTGAGAAGCCACAAGCCAAAATAAACCTCTCTTCCTTTAAGCTTTCAGTTGGGTATTTTTTTTTTTTTACTAATAATAGGAAAGCTGACCAGTGTGGCAAGAATCATGCACAAGCCATATGTCTAGAGAGCTTTGGAAATTGAGCATAAAGTGTTGATGTCCCTGTTGAGAGGTGGCTTGGCAGGAGGCAATTTAAATGGCTAAGAATTTCAGAGGAAACATTTTCCTAAGCTCAGTTCTGACCAAGAAACGGATGGAAGATGAGCATTAACCACTTACCAGTTTACTCCAAGTGTCACTCATGTATTGACTGTCCCAAGCATCACTTGGGCAGGTGTCATTTCAACCAGTTGATTTTTGTATTGAAAAAATTTGATTAAATCAGTTTTTTATATTTCCTGTTATGTTATGAAAAATATGCACTTTTTGGTCATCCTGTATTTAAATAATTGGGCTGGTAAGTGGTTAGCAGCTTAACCATAGACATAGCAAAGAATTCTCTAAGGATAAACCCCTGAGATATTAGGGTTAAAACTGAGAAAAAACAAGTAAAATGTAGGTTCCAGAATGGGGCTGAAAATAGTGACAGGAAATTTAAATATAATTATGGAAAAATATGATTGAATTATGGAAAATTTAAAATTGTTTTATGAAAAAAATAAGTTTATTTGAGGCCTGCCATATTAGAAATTGAGAACTTTATGATAGGAAGCTTTTCTGTTTTCACATGGATCTATGGAAGAACTTTAGTGACTTTTCTTACATCAATCAAAAAGTAAACAAGTATTTCTTGGACCAGTGTTCAGACTGGCTGTAATATAATTCAGCATACGTCATAAGTTTTAAACAGAATTTATTTGTATTTAACCCATGTTTCCCATTCCTGGTCCTCTTCATGGTTTTCTTTAGTTATATATTCCATCAAAGATCATTTTCCGTCAACTGAAGGAACTCTCACTGTTGTTTCTTTTAGTGTAGGTTCTAACAGCAGATTTTCTCAGCTTTAGATAAGGGAACTATTTACTTTTCTTCTGGATAAATTTCTTCCTTATTTTAAGCTGGCACTTTCTTATCCCTTTGAAGATAACATTTTATTGTGTTCTGTTTTTGTTGAAATTAAACTGTCAGTCATCCTTGCTCCTTTGAAAGTAGTATCTTTTTTCCTCCTGATTTCAAGATTTTCCTCTTCATTGTTCAGCTTTTTGATTTTTAACATATATAAGTATTTGATTTATTTTGAAATATCTTGCTTTGCTTCACTTAAATTCACAGTCTAAAAGTCATCCTTCATAAGTTTTGGAAAGTTGGGCACATTTATCTCATGGAATTCCAATTATCAGATACTAGAACTTTTGACTAAATATCCTATTAGATTTTTATCTTGTTTAATTTTCTTTTCAGCGATAGTCCTGTCTGCTGGATTTTGTGCATATTATTTTTCAGCTCTAGAATGCCCAAATGATTTTGTTAATAAATTCTTTTTAAATTTTTATTTTAATCTACTTAGTCTAGAATTTTCTCAAGTGATGTTAATTATGCTTAGAATATTTATTATTCTTTTTTTTCCCCCTTTTACTTAATCCTACTTTTAGTGAGGAGATAGAAGAACATACTTGGTGATTTTAAAAAATCAAATGTTGCACATGGTAGACAAAAATTGTATCTTCCACCAAAGAAGGTTAAATTGTCATCTGGCGGGCAGAACAGCAAATCACCTTAATATACACTTTGGGGCTTACACTCCTCTGCTGTCTTTTTTTCTGGCTGTCCCTGTTCTGGTCCCTCAAGACCTGGCTGTCTTCTCAGCCTCAAAATACCCTGATCTTGGGCTGGGGATTTAGCTCAGCGGCATAAGCGCCTGCCTTGTAAGCAGACAGTCGTGAGTTCGATCCCTGGTACCGATAAAAACGAAAAAAGAAGAAAACAACAACAACAACAAAAAAAAAAACCAAAATACCCTGATCTTTATCTCCTTATGCAGTAAAACTGTCACTGCTTGTACCTTATTTCTTGGGCCTGATTTGGAAAATTCCTTCAGTTAAAACACTGAGGTAAGCATGGAACCCACTTCATCTTCTGAAATCTTGCCTGACTTGATTATTCACTAGGGCCTTTAAATATTTTTAAATATATTTTTATCAAAAATTTATAGTGTTGGGCTGGGGATTTAGCTCAGCGGCATAAGCACCTACCTTGCAAGCAGGCGGTCGTGAGTTCGATCCCTAGTACAGATAAAAATGAAAAAGACAAAAAAAAAATTTATAGTGTTTGATCAGGGAAAAGGGAACTCATCTATATTGTTGGTGGGAATATAAACTAATGAAGTAGAACAACTATGGAAATTAATATGGAGATTCTTCACAAAACTAGAAATAAAAATTCCATTTGACCCAGATATGTTCCTTCTAGGAATCTTCCTAAAAGAGCTAAATCCTTCACACTGCAGTGATACACACCTATGTTTGTAGCAGCACAATTCGTAACAGCCTAATCTTTTTTTTTTCTTCTTTTTAAATTTTATTTAAGGAGAAAAAGAAAAAAAAGCAGAAAAAGGGTACAAGTTATACAGAATTTCAGAAAAATAAACAGTAGAAAATCACTAGTTGATAGATTACATATTGTCATCTTAGAAATAGTTGTTCGTTACAAAATTAAAGCATATAAAGTGGACATTCAAACAGTGAGACTGCAAACACTTCTGTTCAATGATCCAACAAAACTCAGTAATATGGTTATCTATCTTATACACTTAAATATACATGCAATTATATCCTTTAGAGCACTTTCTTTTCCTCTCTTTTGTACTATGACAATTACACATTTTGGGTTTTATTACTCCCACAGTTGTTACCACTTTTTTTTTTTAAGAGAGTAAAACCAAATGTGACGGAACAGAGTCAGTCAAATCAAAAGGATGGACATAAACAGCCTAATCTTGATAGTGGCCTGTATTTCCATCAACAGATAAAGATGATATGTACACAGTGGAGTACTGCCATGTCATAAACTAGGATAAACTTGAATCATTTATAGGAAAGGGGGTGCATCTTAAGATCACAATGCTAAATCAAATAAACACACGAGCTTAACTATTGTGTGGTTTCTCTTACATGAGAAACTCAAAATATAAATAAAGAACAAAATAAAAGATATATAATGGAAAATAGGAGCTCTTTTCCAAATGGGAAGGGGAACAAAAGGTGGGAAGGAGAGGAGATGAAGAGAGAATCGAGTTGTACCATCTCCCCACAAGTAATTATTATGTATGGCAAACGTGCTAATAAAAATGAAAGAAAAAGGGCAGGGATACAGCTAAATGACATAAGGGCCCACCTGGCAAGCACAAGGTCATGAGTTTGATTCCTGGTATCAAAAGAAAAATGAAAAGGGGAAAAATTTAATATATTTATCATAGCAGCTTTACTGAAAAAAAACACTGATAGTTGGCCTCATTTTAATTGCGGATAAACTTTAAAATTTGAATATGTAAGTTCTATTAACTAAACAAAAATCTGAATCCCAGGTCTTTGTTTCCTAAAGTAATATATTGGATATCCTGGTGTAGCTATTCTTTTTGATTTTCAATTTTCTGCCAAAAAAAGTATACGTATAGCAATATATATAATTGTATATGTCACACTTACGCCACCTGTCTTTGAAAAATGAGGTATTATATTTTTGCCCCAGAAGGAACATTTACTGGTACTAAGTATCTATTACACTGAGCTTGAAAAAGATACAAGCTAAGTTTTCTGTTTGTATAGCTATTTTGTTTCTGTTGGCATTAGGCAAACCCTGGGCTATATACTACTTAGTTGAGTTTGTCACAGTTGTGGTCCCAATGGGGCACACGCTAGTGATATTAATAATATCACAGAAAATAAATGCTCTTAAATTCTATGTTACACATACTTCAGCAGTGACTATATGGTAGGAAATTTCATCTAGTTTGTAATGGTTATAATTGGGCACTCTGTACACTTAGTTCAAATTCAGTCTCTGGGAAGTACATCATTTTCTCTCAAGCCCTAGTTCTTAGTAACTCCATCTTGCTACTTCTGAGCCCATCTTCGTATTCACTTGACACTTATTCACACTGCAGAATAGAGCTAGTGCCCCGTTTCATGGCTAGCTGTACATATGCTGCTGCCCCTAACTGGACTGAGATGTTGGCAGGGATACGGATCATACCTTCCTGGGAGGTAGTGGGATGGAGTACAGAGAACAAGAACTGGCTTGAGCTCACATCTACATCCTGCCCTTTACTGATGGATGTTGGATAGGTTAATCTCCCTGTGAAAAACTATGCTAAGTCAAAGATAGAAGATACACCACCTACCTAGAACGGTGGTTCTAATATTTAAATTCAAAAACACATGCACATAACTTAACAGTGTCTGCAAGGAAGTCCTCAGTGAATGAATGTCATTTCTCATGTTCTGCCAGCCCTTCTTAGTTGTGCATGGTAGCACTCAGTACCATGTTTGCTTATAGTGTATCTTTAATAAAGGTTCCTTAAGTTTCTATTCATTAAGTTAGAAAAACGGTTTGCTTTTTCTCAGTGTCTTAAGTTCCTGAAAGTGAGGAGTTTTTACTAAAGTGTTTCCAGCTATAGTTTTAATGTGCAAAGAAAAAGGTTTGTATCTTGCATGCAATACAAGAAAAAGGAGAAAAGACCAACAGATGTAGTAAGTAGTCCCACCGCCACCCCTAAGATGGGGTTATATGAACACTTTTTATACTAACACTTTTTCATGCCCTCACCCTCTTTCTACATTTTTCAGGAAATAGGTTTGGAAGATGCTTTGGATTCTCCCACACTGCCCAGACTGGAAGAGTTTTACATCTCTTTTATTCAATCACAAAAGTCAGCAAAAGGGAACCACTTTGAAACTAACAATATTCTGACTGAGCCGAAGCAAATCCGGCTGTCCACAGCAGTATCCAATTCAACTCCTGCAGTGGTTGACTCCCCAAGGAAAGAGTCTGCTTCTGGTAGGTTTACATATATTTGTGCATGCTCTCAATTGACATGTGCTGTTTGCCACATTGTAAAAAACTTTGATCTCTTGCAGAATATATTTTGAAAGATTCCTGGCTTTACCATTTATCCCAACTCCTCATCTTATTTTAGGGTTCAGTTCTGTTAGCTTTGTTGCTCTTTTTTGTTTTTTTCAGGGGTTTCACATTTGTGTACAGTAAAAATTTGTCAGTTTTTAAATGTGTGGCTCTTTAAGTGTTGACAAATGTGTGCAATTACGATATGAAACACTCTCATCGGCTTGGAAAGTATACTTGTGGCCAGTCTCTACGCCAGCTGGCTGGTCTCTAGCATAGCATTTTCCCTTCACTAGAATCACATAGTAGTATATGTAGTTTAATGTCTGGTTTCTTTCTTTTACACAACAGCAATTTTCTTCTATTTAGTATTTACCTAGAAGTGGTAATCTTTTAAAGTGTTTCCAGTCTATAGTTTTAATGTGCATTTTCCTGTTTACCGTGATGTCAACCATCTTTTTATGTGCTTATTTGTAATTCATATGTCTTCTCAGTTAAGTGACTGTTAAAACTAGGTTATCTTATCTGCTTATAAAAGTTCTTGAGCCAGGAATACAGCTCAATGGCAAAGCACCTGCCTGGCAAGCACAGTGTCCTGAGTTCAATTCCCAGTACCAAAACAAAAGTTCTATATGCCGGACACAAATCGTTTGTCATATTGTGTGTTTTTTTCCTCCAGGGTGTGACTTACATTAACAGTGTTAGTAGAAGAGTCATTTTGATCAAATTCATGTGCTAATTTTTTATAATACAATTTGAGCTTTGTATATCCTATTATTCAACTAACTAAGATTTTTTACTGCATGTTCTACTGCATTTCTGGGTAATAATTCTATTACCCAACCCAAGTAACCAAGATTTTCTATTGCTAAGATTTTCTACTGAAAATATTTGTGGTTTTCAGTCTAAGAGTTAGATCTATAGTCCAATTCAGATGAATTTTTGTGGTAGGATCAATGTCAGGATCAACAATCATTTTGTTTGCATATGCAGTTGGCCTTACATTTGTTGAAAAGACTGTCTCTTTAAGTGTCTCAACACCTTTGTCAAAAATCAGTACTTACAAAAAAAACTGTATATGACAAGATCTCTTTCTAGACTTTCTATATTCTGTTGGTCAATGTGTTTCTCTTTATAGTTCTTTGTATTAAGTGTGCTTTGTATTTTCAAGTTACAATGGAATTGTGTCATAATCACATAATAAGTTTGAGGAGCCAGCTGTATTGTTGCTACATTCTGCAAGATTGCTAAACTCACTTGTTACAGTAACTTTTTGTACCATCTTTGGAATTTTCTATTTTGATAGACATACCATCTGTGGGGCGGGGGACCACTTCTTATTACATCTGTTGGTCTTTTCCCTCTTTTCTTGTATTGGTTAGAACCTCTGATGTAGAGTTCCTTAACAGATATGAGACTAATGTGTTAGCCTTGTTGATCTCATAGGTAAGTATTTAGTATTGTGTGAACGAAGCATGTTAGCTGTAGATGCCTTTGTTGAGGAAATTCTAATTTATCCTAGCCTTGATCTTTTTAATCATGAATGGGTTTTGAATCTCACCAGATGCTTTTTCTAGTTCTATTGAGATGACCATGTTTTCTAAATTTCTAAATTCAGCTCTTAAGCCAACCTTGGATTCCTGCAGTAATGGCCTCCTAGTCATGAGGTACTATTCATTTAATGTACTTCATTCTCTTTATTAAAATCTTGTTAGGGTTGTTGTTGTTGTTGTTGTTGTTGTTGTTGGTTTTTTTGGGATTTTTGAGTTTTGTTTTTTTTTTTTTTTTTTTTTTTGAGGTAAGGTCTTGGCTATCTGGTTCAGGCTGGCCTTGAACTCATGGCTATCTTCCTGCCTCAGCCTCCCAAGTCCTGGAATTACAGGTGTCTGCCACTGTGCCCGTTGGTTAAGGATTTTTATGACTGTGTTTATGAGGGCATTTGTAGTTTTTGTTTGTAATGTCTTCGGTTCAGTATCTGGAGCAGTGGTGGTGAACCTATGGCACATATCCCCCAATGGACACACAGAGCCCTCTCTGTCAACGTGTGTGCCCAGTATTGCCCCAGCGTCTGAGCATCAGGTTTAATTGCAGGTTGGTACTTTACAAAAAATAAGTGGGTTTTAGGTTGCAGTTTGAGTTCATGGTCTCTTAAAAAGTTCACTGGCACTAATCTAGAGAATGCTGCCCTCATAGGATGAGTCAGGAAGGGTCCCCTCCTATTCTCTTGAAGAATTTGTTTGTAATTAGTATATTTTCTTTAAGTGTTTGGTAGAATTCAAAATCAAGACTCTCTGGACTTGGAGTTTTCTTTAAAGGAAAGTTTTTATCATATGTCTTTAATAGATACAATGTTATTTAGGTTATCAATTACTTCTTGAGTATTACTTTTCAAGGAATTCTTTCAAGGAATTTATTTCCTCTAATCTCTAAATTCTGTTAGCATAAATTACTCCTATTGGTCCCTTACTTTAATACCCATAGAATTTTAGTTACATAAATACTCTCATTCCTGAATTTATAATGTATACTTTCCTTTTATTCTCATGATCTCAGTGTGCCTAAAAGGCTATTAGTGTATTTTATTGATCTGAGACAAACATTTCAGATCCATTGGTCTTCCCATTTTTATGTCTTATTTAACTGGTTTCTGTATTTATTTTATTATTTCTTTCCTTTTGCTTACTTTAGGCCTAAATTTTGTCTTTGTCTAATTCTGCAATTTGAAAGTTTAGATTATTTGTTTTATAACCTTTTTACTTTGAAAAGAAAAAACAATAAAAATGATACAGAATTTCAAAATAAGATAATAGATTAACAGTGGTTAATATATTGCATATTGTTACCTTCAACACAGTTACTCAGATTATAAGATATAGACATGAAAATTTGATCACACAATGAAAACACAAACTGTTCTTTTCAGTGAACTAAGAGATTAACAGTATAATTATCTAAAACATACATAGTCTTTTTCCTTCTTTTTTTTTCTCCTTTCCCCCATCCCATTCTTTTCCTTTTGAGCAGCTTCTTCCCTTTTCACTTTCACAGTATCTAGTGTACATTTTGGATCTTATTTACTCTTTTAATTTTTTTAGATTAGGGAGACAATATGTTTACACATGCCAATTTGATTTATATCACTTAATAATATGGCTCAAGTTGCATCCATTTATTTATAAAAGCCTCAATGTGATCCTTCTTTATAGTTGAGTAGTACTCTAGTGTATAAACATATCACATCTTTCTAATCCATTCCTCAGCTGATGGACATTTGAGTTGTTTCCAAGATCTAGCTATTACAAATTGTGCTGCTATAAACATGAGTGCACATATATTGCTGTGTACGATGTTTTTAATTCTTCTGAAAAGATGCCCAGGAAGGGAATATCTGAGTCAAATGGGACCTCCAGTCCTAGTTTTGTCAAGAATCTCCACACTGACTTCCAGAGTGGTTGCTTTAGTCAACACTCTCACCAACAGTGGAGAAGGACTCCTTTTTCCTCACAGCCCCTCCAGTATTTATTATTGGTTGATTTCTTGATAATAGCCATTCTTCCTGGAGTGAGATGGGCTTTTTCAGGATTGTTTTAATGTGTGTTTCTCAAGTGGCCAATGATGTTGAACATTTTCATACATTTGTTTGCCATTTGCCATTTGTATTTCTTTATGTGAGAAGTATGTATTCATCTCAGATGCCCATTTTTGGATTGGGTCTTTGAATTTGGAGGGCCTGATTGTTACAATCCTTTATATGCTCTAGATAGAAGTGCTTTGTCTGAGGGACAGTTGGCTAAAAGTTTTTCCCATTCTGTTGGTTGTCTTTTCAGTCTTTTGCTGATTTCGTTCAATGTGCAAAAACTTTTTAATAAGATGAGATCCAAGTTGATTCTTCGATTCTTCCCATGCAGTTTGGGTTTGGTTCATGAACTCTGCCTATCCCTATGTCTTCAGCATTTCTACCTACTTTATCTTCCAGTAGATTTAGTGTTTCTGTTTTAATATTTAGATCTTTGATCCATTTTGACGTTAGCTTAGTGCATGGTAATAGACATGGGTCTAGTTTTAGTCTTCAACCTGTGGGAAGACAGTTTTTCCAGCACTATTTATTAAAGAAGCTTTATTCCAGTGAGCATGCTTGTCCCATGTCAAAGATAATGTGACTGAGTGTGTTTGTAGTTGCATCTGCATCTTCTAATCTGTCCAACTGATCCTCAGGTCTGTTTTGGGGTGGGGCTTTTTTTGCTATTGTTGTTTTGGGTTTTTGCCAGTACCAAGTTGATTTTATCACAATAGCTTTGTAGTATAATTTCAAATCAGAAATTGTGATGCTTCTTGCCTTTCCTTTGTTTCTCAGAATTACCTTAGCTATTCTAGGTCTCTTCTGATTCCAAAAGAATTTCAGGAATGTTTTCTCTAGGTCTATAAGATATGCTAATGATATTTTGATGGAAATTGCATTAAATCTGTGTAACAATTTTGGAAGTATGGCCGTTTTCACAATATTGATTCTTCCTATTCATGAGCAAGGGTTATCTCTCCATTTTTTGATAGCCTGTTCAATATTTTTCAGAGTACTTTTCAATATATAGATCTTTTTTTTCCTTTGTTAGATTGATTCCTAAGTATTATGGAGTTTTTGGGTGCTATTGTGAAAGGTGTTGTTTCCTAATTTCTCTCTCAATGAGTTTGTTGTTTGTACAGGAATGCTGTTGATTTCCAACTGCTGACTTTGTATCCAGCTATGCTGTTGAATTTGCTTATTAAATCTAGAAGTGTTTTAGTGGAGTGTTTGGGGTCTTCTATATAGAGTATCATGTCATCTGCAAATAATGATAGTTTAACTTCTTCCTTTTCTAGCCTTACACCTTTTATTTCTCTCTCTTGTCTAATTGGCTCTGCCCAATGTTTCAGAACCATATTGAATAGGAAAGATGATAGGAGACATCCTTGTCTTGATGCTGATTTTAGAGTGAAAGCTGTCAGTTTTTGTCCATTTAGTATGATTTTGGCTGTTTTGTCATAGATGGCTTTTTTCAGATTGATGAGGAAATCACCCATTCTGATTTTTCTGTAGGGTTTTTATCATGAGTCGGATTTTATCAAAAGCTTTTTCTGTGTCTGTTGAGATGATCATGTGATTTTTGTCTTTGGCTGTGTTCTGTCATGTGTTAATTTATTGATTTGTATATTTTGAACCATCCCTGCATTCCTGGGATAAATCCCACTTGGTCATGGTGTGTAATCTTTTTGATTATTTACTGCATTCTGTTTGCTAGTATTTTATTGAGGATTTTTGCATCTGTGTTCATTAGGGAAATTAAGAGAGACTATAGTTCTCTTGCCTGCTTGGGTCTTTCTCTGCTTTTGGTATCAGGGTAACACTTGCCCCCAGGAATGAGTTAGGGAGAGTTGCTTCCTTTTCAGTTTCATTAAAGAGTTTGAGGAGTATTGGCATTAAATCTTCTCTAAATTTCTTGTAGAATTCAGCCATGAATCCATCAGGACCTGGTCTTTTCTTTGTTGGTAAGTTTTTAATTATGTTTTCAATTTCATTAACTAATACTGGATTACTCAAAATTTTTTATCTTCTCAATTCAGCTTTGGTAATTCATATATTTCTAGAAATCTCACCATTTCTTCTATGTTTTCCATCCTATTCAAATAAAGATTTTCAAAGTAGGTGATTGATTATCTTCTGAGTTTCCACAGGATCTTTAGTGATGTCAACTTTTTCCTTGTTGCATGGATTTGAGTTTTTCTTTCCTTTTTTTGATAAGGTTGGCTAGAGGTTTATTAATTTTATTTGTCCTTTCAAACAATCAACTCTTCAATTCCTTAATTCGTTGTATTGTTTTCTTAGTCTCAATTGCATTCATTTCTGCTCTGATCTTTATAATTTCCTCCCTTGTATAGGCTTTGGACTTGTCTTGCTCTACTTTTTCTAGAACGTTGAGATGCAACATTGGGTTGTTTATTTGTGCTTGTTATGTTTGCCTAATGTGAGACTTTACCACTATAAATTTCCCTGTTAGTATTGCTTTCATTGCACTCCATAGGTTCTGGTATGTGGTATCTATATTTTCATTTGATTATTGATTGTTTAGTTTCTTCTTTAATTGCATCTGTGACTCATTGGTTATTCATGAGGGTGTTTCTTTTGCCAGTAATTTCCAGTTTCGTTGCATTATGGTCAGGTCATGTCATGGGATAATTTCAGTTCCTTTACATTTACTTAAGCATGTTCTATGGACTAGTGTTGGTCTGTTATAGAGAATGTCCAGTGTGCAGCTAAGAATAATTGTGTGTTCTGATGTTGGATGAAACACTCTGTAAATGTGTAGTAGTCCATTTGTTCACAGGTTTGGTATTTTGGTACTGATACTTGTTTGCTGAGTTTTTGTCTAGTTGATCTATCTGTTTTTGACAAGGGGGTATGTATTAAGGTTCCCCTTTAGAATTGTGTTATTGTTTATTTGGTTCTTCATGTCTGTTAATACTTATTTATCTTATAGTTGTGCATGTATACTGATATTTGTTATCTCTTCCTCTTGAAGTTTTCTCCTAACAAGTATGTAGTGACCTTCTTTATCTCTTTTGATCATTCTTGGTTTGAAGTTCACATTGTCTGCAAACAGAATAACTACTACTGCTTTTTTCTGGGTTTCTGTTTCATGGAGTATTGTTTTCCATCCTTTGATTTTCATCGTGAGATTCTTTTTGACTTAAATGTGTTTCTTGGGGCTAGGGATTTAGCTCAGTAGCGTAAGTGCCTGCCTTGCAAGTGCATGGTCATGAGTTCGATCCCCAGTACCGATAAAAAAATAAAAACCAATCAATAAATAAATAATGTGTTTCTTGTATACAGCATATTATTGGATCTTGTTTCTTGATCCATTCTGACAATCTGTTTCTTTTGATTAATGAATTGAGGCCATTTTTACATTGATGGTTAAAGCCGGTATGTATTAGCTGATCTTTGTCATGCTATTTTCTTGTTGTTGAGTCCCTGATTTTCTCCTCTATTTAATTGCTTGCCCTGTGTGGTGGTTTCTTTCTGATATTGTTCTTGATATTATCATTTTTATCTCTATCTAGATATCTTTTAATACTCTTCATAGGGTTGTTTTGGTGGTAATGAATTTCTTTAGTTCTTTGTTGTGGAAGTATTTTATTTCTGAATCAATTTTGAAAGATGGTTTTGCAGCGTGCATCAATCTGGGTTGGAAGTTGTTTTCTTTCAAGATTTGAAATACTTCATTTCAAGCTCTTCTTGAGTATTGGTGTTGAGAAGTCAACTGTGATTCTAATGGGCTTTCCTTTATAGGTGATCTTTTTGTTTTCTCTAACAGCTTTTAATATTCTGTTTTTGTAATTTCTGGGATCTTGATTATTATATTTCTTGATGTAGATTTATTGTGGTTATCGTTGGAGTTCTATATGCCTCACTTACCTGTACATCAGATTCTGTTCCAATGCTTAGGAAGTTTTCTGTTAACACTTCTGCAAATAGTATTTTTACATCATTTATGTTGACTCTACTTTTTCATTGACACCAAGCAGCCTTACATTATTTTTCTTTGCATTGTCTTGCAGCTGTTGAATTTGTTATTTTCTGATTCTATCATAATTTTAAAAGATCTTTCCTTTCGTGATCACTAGCCATGATCCTGTGTTCAAGGTCTGAAAGTCTGTCTTCAATTTCTTTCAAGTGATTTTGTCAGTTTTCAATGAAGTCTTTAATTTCTTGGATCTCTTTAAATCTCTTTCATGCATTCTAGAGCTTTCCTATACTGATCATTCATGACTGCCATCCCTTTCCTATCATAATCAATTTTTTGATCTATCTTGACTCTAGATTTGCTAAGTAATGTCTTTATGAATGTTGGCATTTCTTTTTTTTACCTGAAGTGATTTCTTCTATAGCCTCATAGATTTGTTCCTATACTTCACTTGATATCTTTTCAGAAATTTCAGGTGTCTTCCAATTTATTCTATGTCAGTGTCTTCTGTACTTGTTTATAGCCTGTTTTTACTAATGTAAATGACACAGACTTCCCTCTGACCCTGCTTTAATTACATCTGATAAATTTTTTATCATTTCATTTTCATTTGGTACAAAATATTTTCTCATTTTCCTTGTGAATTTTCCTGTTTACCCATTGCCTATCAAGATAGCAGGCCCAATCTTATTGGCACCAGAGACTGGTTTTGCAGAACAGTTTTCCTACAGACATTAGATGTTCAGGATGATTCAAGCACATTTGTTTCTAGTATTATTGTATTATAATATATAATGAAATAATTATACAACTCTCCATAATGCAGAGCAGTGGGAGCCCTGACCTTGCTTTCCTGCAACTAGATGACTCATCTGACCCTGATGGAGACAGCAGCACTTGAAGTGTGTTAATGTCCAGGCTACCCAGTAATCTTGGAGCATTATAGTTCTTTGATCAGAATTTCACTTTTAGAGCACCCTGTCAGCCTTTCTTTATATAACTCTTCATAAATACAAGCAACGTAGAGCACATGCTGCTGTGCTAGATGCTAAATATGCAAAGCTGATTAAAAGATTGGAATTATGCTTGCTTTTTCTCTTTTTTTGAAATTCATGGTAAGATACATAGCAGTGCCAATTTGAAGAGTTTGCATGGTAGGCAACACAATAACGAGCTTGTGCCAGCACGTTAATTGCGAGTACACTGGTGAACACATTGTTTAGATCACTTGGGGTTTTTTTCTTTTTAAAGCAGGACTTTCTCGAGGGAAGGAATGTCTTGGCTTAGATGTCACCAAAAACTTCCCTTACTATATAGGCAGATAATAAATAGTCATACCTGCTACTTTGGGTGTCACTGCCCTAGCGTATTCATCTGAGCAGGCTTACTATTCCCCTCTCCTCGGCCCTTAGGAACAAATTCCAGAACTTTCATTTCATTTAAAGGATGGTTTCTTCATAGTGAAAAACAACTGGCGTCTGATACTTGTTAGCAGTTTGCTATGGTTTTATATTGGCACAGACTTGGCCTGTTTTGGCAATAGAGAATGCCTTGTAGATACTATTTTTCCTCAGTACTAGAAGGCAGTAGGAGAGCTCATGAGCTCTTCTCTGGGATTTGGTTTTATTCAGTCTTCCTTTTTTGTTGTTGAAGAGGGAATGCATTTCCCTCTTCTCTTGGCTCTCATCTTGACAAGAATCTGTTTTGTCTCAACATGCAGCGCCCCATCACCATTTCCTCTTCATTTGTTGCCTTGTTTCTGAGTCTCATTTCCTGACTATCCTTTGGGAATTGCCACTGCCCTACAGAAAATTATTGTAATACATGTAAAGCATTGAATCTGAGAACCCCTTGAAAAGATGCTGTGTTTCTTTTTTTAGTGGAAAGATCTCCAGGGAGCCAAAAGAATGAAGATTTTTCCAATAGTAATACTACCCCAATGTTCAAGAACAAGAGTCCAGGTTCTATGGATCAACAGTCTTTTATTTTGTCTCCAGAGTACAAGATTTCTCAGAAGCTCTACATTCCTCGAAGCACAGCCACTGCTGCCTTAGGGGCTGCTGCCCGGTTAGCTACATCCAGGAGCTTCCTGCATTGGTATCCCAGTGTGAAACGGATGGAGGCATGAGCTAAGGTGGAAGAGTTTGAAGCAGACTAGTATTTTGGTAGTTGATACTTGTATGTGTCTGTGACCATTCATAGCTTTATGATGCTAACCACATTGATGTATAAGTATTGATGTTTAGTGTTAATTTTTATTTTTACTAATTTCATTTTATTCTGTATGATTGAGTCACCTTTTTAAATGTTTAATGTAGTTTAAAGGAATTTCTGTTTCTATATTTTTCTTGTACATATCATGACATTCAATGAAAATTGAAGGTCTAAATATTCTTACATATATATCTCCAGAAAAAGGCTGTCTGAATTTTGGGGCCACTGCTTTCTATTTAATTTGGATTTTTGCTATCATAAAGGAAATGTATACCCTGAAGGTTTGGTCATATAAATACTTGTACTTTTTAAAAAATGAAATGTTAGGCGTGGTTGCACACACCTGTAATCCCAGCATTTGGAAGGCAGGAGTATCATTGTGAGTTTGAGGGCAGCCTATGCTACATAGTGAGTTCAAGGCCAGCTCAGAATAGCAACACTGTCTTCAAAAAACTATTTTTACTATGAGCTAATTTTGAAACCTAGCCATCTCTGTAGTTACCATAGTTCTCAGAAGCCTTAAAGGAGCATGGTTCTACAGTGGTATTATTTAAGCCTTTCTATAAAGTATTGTCTAAGTTTATACTTCGTGATTTGTTATGTGGCATTCTGTTCAACTCATACTATCAATCAAAAGAAAAATAAAGAAGTGAGCTTGAGCCTAGGATTTTGAAGCCAGTTAGAACAACATAGCAAGATGTTGTCTCAAAAATACACAAATCCAGATTCACCTTTGATTCCAGTGTATCTATAAGAATGTTGATACACTAACAAACCCAAAAAAAAAAAAACCACACAAGTAACCTAAAAACAGTGTTCATAAGTTGACCAGACATATCAGACTTTTTTTTTCTTTTGGTATCTCAGGAGTCTGAAATCACGGCCTCACACAGGTTAGGCAAGTGCTCTTCCACAAAGCTATCACCCAAGCCCTGTATCAGACATTGGAGAGTTTCTTAAAGGGTCAGTGAAGACTTAAGTGCTATGTGAGATGCTCAACTGACAGGAACTGACAAAGCTCTGGTTGTCATATAAGTTCAAATATCCAGTTTGTTTTTTAAGAGAAAATTTTTTCTAAAAGTGAAAAATTCATTTTTAAAATAATGCTTCAGAATTCTACCTTTAATGAAAAAAGTCTGAGAAATGTACTTCTCTTCTCCAGATGAGCAGTTACTGGGTTTGAAATAAGAATCTAGTAGCAGTAAAGTGTCAGAAGTAGAAGAGTTGACAGAAGTAATAGAATTTAGTAGATTAAAATGTAACCTCTCTGTAATAACACCCAAGGGCCAGGAGGATCTCTGCCAGAGCTGGGCAGTCTTTTTGTAAGTTGATTTCATAACCTAACAAGAACTAATTTTATACCTTGCAAGTTGGAGATTATGGAATAACTGCATTAAGGCTTTGTCAGAATCTTGACCTTTTGCAAATAAAGAGAACAGCAACTTAGAGCCACCAGAATGGTGAATTTCAGCACTCCTTGAAAGAAGTCTGTTTAGTAATTAATAGCTGACATCTCATATGAGTTAGAGTGATGAATGAACATTTGAAAGGCTTGTACATTTTGATTACTTGTTTGGCTAGGCCGGCTGATGTGTCTGTTTACTTACCTTGTCCTAAAAGGTAGACTTTGGTGGGTACCCAAAGCATTAAATTTAATGGATCATTTGAAATAGAATAAATAGGTTTCTTATATGGGCAAGAAGAGCCATAAGAAAGAAATGTACAAAAGATACATAGATGAGCTGCAGATGGGAGCACATGTCTGTAATTCCACCTACTCAGAAGACTGAAGCAGAGGGATTGCAAGTTCAAGCCCCCCCCCACCTCCGCAACTCAGTAAGACCCTGCTCAAAAAAGTGGGGTGGGGATATAGCTCAGTGGTACAGCACCTCTACATCTGATCCTTAGTACCACACACACAAGATATATAAAATAACGTTATATTTTCAAAAGATACACATGCACACTTTGAACATTTGTGATATTAAGGAGCTACCTGCAGTAATGCAAATCTCACATATGTGACATGCCAGTGATTCCTATGTCTTGAAGTTTCTGGCATTTGTGTTTAACCAACTTAGATTAAATGATTTTGATCTAGGAAGAACCTTAGATGAAGAACTATGCAGCCTAGAAAAACTGACTTGTCTGTACTCACACAGCTTGAATTCCCAGACCTGCTGACTCCTAGCCCAGAGCCTTTTACAGAAAAAAAAAAATAATACAATTCCATCTTGTTTAACTGATTTGTGCCAGAAGGCATAACTTTTGTAGAGCCCAAAAGAATGGTGTTTTTGATAGCTGAAAACACTCTTGGTGTTGGTGGATGAGGGGACTAATACTTCATATTCATGAACAATTTAGCAGTGGGAAATTCTACAGCTGAAGAGTGTGAAAAAGAGGCCCCATAATGAATGAGAAACCAGCATCTGCCAGATAAATCTTTCTGAAGCTTCCTGTAACATTTATAGCACCTTATAAGACTTTCCTAACATTTTAACAATATTTTCAGAATTGCATGTGGTGACATGGCGACCATTCACACTATTCATAATTATGTAGGAGCCATTGCTAAACATTGAAAATATTTCATTTCCTGATCCCATTTCCTCTATTCCAAGAACCTTGATCTTTCCAAGATGTCAACAAAGTACAAATCCGCATCAACAAAGTCTGTGTGTATATCTTGTGTTTAGCCACAATCCCAACACGTAGGTGTCACTTGGCTCATTTAGTCAGTCACCTAACAAGTCACCAGTTAGAGTTTTGGATCATTGGCCTACTGGAACCAGACTCCTTTAAACACTGCTTTTTTAACTGTATACACAGAAAATGTTAACTGTTCAGACAAGAACTTTTATAATATAACTGACTTGTGTACCACTTGTTATGTGAAATTGAGTATTTAGCTATAATTAAAAACTGAGATTGTATTGCCAGCTAAACTTTTTGGGGTTATAAACATAGTTTTCAGTAAATGCTTAAAAATCTATTAGTCATAAGTTCTTTCATATTTCTGTTAAATAGTTTTAATTTATAGAAAAATGAGTATAGGAATGTTAACTTGATTATTTCTTAATGTAATTTAGATAAATTATCTGATGAGGAAACCAAGTTTTTGACTATCTCTGTTCTCAGCTTTTGTTTGCAAACCTAATAGCATATTGTTGGGATCAAGAAACAATGATGAGATTAATCTTTGGTTTTGTTTGATTTAAATATTTTGTTTGATTTAAATATTTATGAAGTTGGAGTTTGTTTTGTCAAAAATGTCTACATGTTTATTTGTAATTAGTTTTTATTGTATTGATTCTGTAGAAATAAAAATTGCACCTGAGTATGAAACCCAGAGATCTGAGCTGAGTAAACACAGAATTTTATCGTTGGAAAACAGACCTGACACTTTTCTTGACTTAACCATTTGTACTCATTTTTCAATTGCCTGCTTCATTTTCAATCAAGACCTTTACAGACCTTTGCTGGATTGTAGATAAAGACTTTTATTCCATAAAACTGAAAATTCACAAGGCTGATAAGTTCCTGGCAGCTGCATTTAAGAGCCGTTTTCTTCCTTCTTTATAGGAGCCCCCAGCTATTCTACGAGATCCCCCAGCTCCTGAAGCTCCCACTTGACACTGTCTGTACACCGAACAGCAAATGCAGCAAATCCCACCTTGCTGCTGTTACTCAATGCTTTCCGTTACCGCCCCTTTTCCTTATTCCACATTTAGAGCCTTTGCTGCAGCCCAGAGCAGAGTGTTCCCAGGTGGTTCTCAAATTCCGTAACTTCTCAGTGTGTCAGTGCATGTTGCCACAAGTTGAAGCCAAACTGAGTTCGTTCTGTTCATCCCGTAGATGGACAAATGACATTACAATGTTGCTGTGATGAATAGTCTCTTCCTTCTGGTATTATGTATATAGCACACCTTCCAAGATTTCAGATATTAATATGCAAGCTGGGCATGGTGGCACATTCCTGTAATCCCAGCACTCGGGAGGTTGAGGCAGGGGGATTGCTGTGAGTTCAAGGCCAGCCTGGGCTATAGAGTGAGGCCAAAGAGGAAGTCCTCCAGAATTTTTGTCTACTTTCTTAGCCAAGGTAAAAAAAACTTCCACTGGTACTGCCTTGTCCTTGTATTATATCACAAGCACAGAAACAAAGAATAACTTTCCTAAGCCCACTGGCTTGAGCAGTGTGGTATAACTCACATTTGACATGCATATACTATCCGACAATTTCCAAATTTCTTCATGGTATGATAAATGGTCCTGAACCTTTTATGGGGTTATTGGCTATTTTAAATAAATGTTAAACACTGAGAACTGTCTCCGCAGAAGGTACACATTCATAAAAAAAATTTGCTGTAATTTCTAAGAGTTCGGGACTCCTGAAAAACCTCCTCCCATCTCCTATGTTCCTTCCCTCTCCTGTTGTCCTAGATACAAACCCAGTAATAGACTCCTGAAATGAACCCTTCCCTTCAAGCCCACATGCAAGCCACTCTAAAGACCCATCAAATGTTACCTTCTAACTGTCTTATTAGTCTGTCTTGCCTGTAGACTGCCTGATGCTGCTCCAGACCAGACCACCTCATAGCTTTGCTGGCACATATTAGAGGCTCTGTAAGTTTTATTGAGTGAAAAGATGGATACACAGGACAGAGAATAGACTACAAGTAAAGTTAATTGAAGTCCTGACCTTTGTCCTGCCACACTGGGTTCTGAATGTCCAAAACCAGGAATCTTATTGAGAACATTAGCAAACATGCCATTTAAATATTTCATTCAGAATGGAATAGACAGCATGTCCTCCAGACAAGAGAACTGAGTAGAAAAGCAGAAATTCCTTTGGGTAGGTGGTTTTTCTGCAAAAAGCACATTGCGTTACTTTTCTGGCTGGGTTTTTGAAGGACAGTGACAAAAGCGATAGTGTTTTACATTTGCTGCTTCTCAGCAACAGCCTTGGTGTCCTCCCAGACAAGTTCAGTTTTCCAATGGGGCTTCTTTCTGTTCATTCATTCTCACAGGCTCACTTCCAACAGCACACTTTAGATTTTTTTTTAGAAAAAAAAAATCACACCCCAGACCTTAGCTTCACTGGCAAACAACCCAAAAGCAATTCATTTAAAAGCACCCTTTAGGGTTCATAGATTACACTGGACTTCAGCTGCTCTTTGTAGACTTTCTGTTGGCCTTGAGGTTTGTGACTCAATGAAAAATAACAAAGACTACTTTTTGGTGACTTTTCTTCCCCTAATACTTGTTAAAAGTATATATTGACTTTAAAGATTAAGATTGTGAGGTTTTCTCTTTCAAATTCAGTGTGATGTGGAAAAAGATGTGATATTTTCACAAACAATATAACTAAGAAATGCGGGGCTGGGGATTTAGCTCAGCGGCATAAGCGCCTGCCTTGCAAGCAGGTAGTCGTGAGTTCGATCCCTGGTACCGATAAAAACGAAAAAGAAAAAAAAAAAGAAATGGGTGGAGAAAAGTACTACCAGCTACATATTTCTATTAGTGACAAAAGTTAAATTATGAACTCAGCATTGACGGAGACCTGTGTGCTGGTGAGTCAGATGCAAGTTTCAGTCCCCTTTAGCCTTGGAGTGGATCTGAGATGCTCCTCACCTCAGGACTGTGCAGCCCCCTGTGGCTATCAAACGCAGGTACCATCCAGCTTACTGCCAGCCACGGTGGCCAGAGATTGTGTCTGTCATCTTACTCCCCAACCTTAGGCAACACAGATGTGCCCCGGCCAGTGCTCACAGGGCTCTAGAGCTGCCCTGGTATCAGGAGGGGACCTAGACCTATGTTTTGATGTGCATCACTTCCAGCTGCAGTGGACAAAAAACAACTTGCTTAGAATTTCTGGAAAGATAAGCACAAAGCTAGATTGTGAAAACTGGAATAAATTCCTAATCTTTTAATGCCCAGATAACACTGTACACCAACAAGCATCAAGAGCTTTCAGGAAATCTTGACCTCTCCTAATACTAAGAACAAAGTTCCAATCTGATCAGGCAATAATTGGCATGGGAAAGCTCTCAGAATCAAAAACAGCCATTTTAAGGAAACGATCTTGAAGGAAAAAAATTTCAATATTCCAACACAGTAGTGGCCAAATCTATGGCATAAATGCTATTTTTCTTTTAAGACAGAAGGTGCTAGTGTAGAGGATTTTTTTGTTCTAAATTAAAAGTTCAGTATTTTATTTTGTGATAAATAAGTAGGTTTGGGGTTACAGTTTGGCACTCAGTATCTTTAAGTTTTGCCATAACTGCTAACAAACTTTTAAGTGGAAGTAATTCTAAACAATCAGAAAGTCTTGAACTGACACACATAGTGAAATTAAAAACACAATTGAAGGCATCAACAGTGGTGAAGTTTAGACATGAAAAAAATTAGTAATTCAAAAATAGGCTACCTGAATACAGAGGAAAAAAAAGAATAAAATGAAGATCTTAAAGGCACTTTGGGAGAGTATTAAAAGTGAAAAAATTTTTTAAGATTATTTGAGTGTAAGAAGGATTTGAGAATGCCAAAGGAATAGAAGGTTTATTCAAAAACATCACAGAAAACTTTCCATACTCAAAGAAGGAAACGATGAGTTCAGGAAATTAACATTCACCATTCATCCTGTCTCAGCCAAGTATACTGCCAAACACAACCCCAAAGCTGCAAAGTGAAGAGAAAGACATTCCTAAACAAAAATGAGAGAGGATATATCCACCAGAACTTTCCTAAAGAAATAGTAAAAGAAGTTTTCAAACTGAAACAGATGTATAAGAAGAAAACATAGTAAGGTATAAAACTCTGTAGTAAAAGTAATTACACAAATTCAGGATGCATTATTATATGTTGTATAAACCGTATCTTTAACATGAAAGCTAAAAAACAAAATTAGGATGACAATTCATGTTAAGATATAAACAGTATGTTCAAAGTATAAATAAAGAGCAAAATAAAAGATAGGCGATAGGAAAGATGGAGAGAATGTACACCGACGATGGTGTAGGCAGACTATGAAAAAACCCTGATTACACAGAAATTATCACAAATGGCATGTCACAGAATTAAAGAAAACAATCCTAAAATTCATCTGGAACCAGAAGAAACCTAGAATAGAGCAGCAAAGGCAGTTCTGGGCCACAAAGGCAAGATGGGGCATCACTATCACTGACTTGAAATTGTACTGTAAAGCTACTGTGATAAACAGCATGGAACTGGCAAAAGAGCAGACTTAAAGGTCAATGGGACAGTTAGAAGATGCAGAAACAACCCTAAACATACTAAGCCATCTTCTCTTTGACAAAGATGTCAACCATATTCACCATAAGGAAGATAGCCTCTTTAATAAACAGTGCTGGACTGCCAAAGATTAAAGTTGGACCGTATCTTTCATCATGCACTAAACTAAATTTAGAATAGATGAAAGATCTAAATATTAAAACAAACATTAAAGCTGCCAAAGATACAGCAGGTAAAACTCCTGACGACAATGGCATAGGCAAAGGCTTTACCAACAGACCCCGACTGCACAGGAACTATCACGGAGAACAGCTGGGACCTCACCTTTGCTAAAAAGCTTTGCACAGCAAGAGAAACCACCAACGGAGCTGAAGAGACCACCCGCGACATGAGAGGACATGTTTGCCAGCTGTTCCTCAGACAAAGGGTTACTTTAAACATAAAACGAACTTAAAAAAAAAAATCAGTCCTCTGAGATTTAAAGGCCAAATCAAAACTGGGTATCTGAAATGAATATACACTTCTCACATGAAATATAAACAGCAAATAAAAATATGAAAAATGTTTACCATCTCTGGTCACTCAAGAGATGCAAATTAAAACAACACTGAGATTTCATCATACTCTGGAAAGAATGCCTATTAGCAAGAAATCAACCGATAAGTGCTGGAGAGGCTGTGGGGAAAAGGAACCCTTTCCACTGTTGGTGGGAGTGTATATTGGTACAACCACTGTAGAAATCCGGGTGGAGAGCTCTCAAAAAACTAGGATTGGCAGTCCCATTTGACCCAGCAGTACCCCTTCTGAGTATCTTCCAAGAAGAATTAAAAACATTGCATCACAACAATGTATGTGCACCCATGTTTATAGCAGCACAATTTCTAATAGCTAGATCTTAGGAACAACCTAAATATCAACTGAGGAATGGCTAAAAAAAGGTGTGGTCTTTTTATGAAGTGGAGTACTATGCAGCCATAAAAGGGTAAACCTGAGATGTTTACAACTAGATACAATACTTATAAGTGAAATAAATCAGACTCATGTGAACATCACATTGTCTTCTGAGTGTGAGAAGCAGAAAGAAATTTGTGTG